CCCATCTGTGTTTTCTTCATGAACACACAGAAGCCATTTTTCAGTCTCCTTGCCTTACAGTGGGGTCAGAAAACTGGGTCTGACCAACACAACATGGAAGAGGTAACAGATACTACAGTTTTTAGTCTTGGCCTGCTTTGGTAGTGTTCTCTCAACTGACTGGCAGGCTGAATATAGAGGGTTCAGTGGAAGACGCTAAGGAGGGCCTTAAAGATGGTGGTGCCACAAGGTGGAAAGAGCCCAAATCTTGATTCTCTGCTTAAAGAAGAGGGATCAGGGATCTCTACACTGGACTTTATGTGTCTAAGAAATAAGTTTTGGGGTTAAACCATTCATATTTTTAGGTTGATATTTCAACTAGCATTAATTATGTGAACACATGTTTCTTTTTTTTTTTTTTTTTGAGACGGAGCCTCAAGCTGTCCCCCTGGGTAGAGTGCCATGGCATCACGCTCACAGCAACCTCCAACTCCTGGGCTCAAGCGAGTCTCCTGCCTCAGCCTCCCAAGTAGCTGGGACCATAGGCGTCCGCCACAACGCCTGGCCATTTTTTGGTTGCAGCCATCATTGTTGTTTGGCGGGCCCGGGCTGGGGATTCGAACCCGCCACCTTAGGTATATGTGGCTGGCGCCTTAGCCGCTTGAGCCACAGGCGCCGAGCCTGAACACATGTTTCTTACGTACCCTGAAGTGTTCCACATAGTACAGATACAAATAATTACCAGTCTTCAATGGACATATTCTTTCTAACTTTTCCCTATTAGAATATTGCCACAATGAATATCCTAATGAAGCAGATTTTCAGCTGTATTAAACCTTGAGGGGATAGTGTTGGAAACAGTGCAAGCACCTCAGAATCTGTTCTGTTTAGGTATTTCCCATCTTTTGCTCAGTTCAGCTTGACTTATCAAGTTGGCACAGTCCCAGCCTGGAAGAACCTGAAGATCCTTCTAGCTCAGAATCTAGCTTGATGCTGACACTTTATTTTCTACATGAACTGATTTTTTTTCCCCTACAGTAACCTTTATATCTATTTCTCACTGGTCCTGACTGCTGTCACTTTGGCATTCATCTCCTGAGTATGCCTATCTCTCAGTTTCTCACCAAGCTCAAGATTCCTGGCTTGTTCATGCCTCCTCTACTGTCACACTCAACCTATTTAACCAACTCCATGTCTCAAAGGTGTGCCTCTGCAGGATGCTTCTCCAGGCACAATGCAGAGTGCATTTCTATGAGAGGTACGGTTGTTGTCCCCTCTCATAACAAGGAATAAAATAATTTCATGTGACACGAAGGAGGGAACAGATTCTAACAGTCTACAACTGGTCCTCATTCTGAAAGGAAACTGCTGAGAAAATCACCTCCAAGATCTAAAATTTTCTTCATATTCAGGTTTCTCACATAGGGTACACATTAATTTCTAGACTTCAAAAACACTTTCATTAAAGGAGCCTATAAAATTTGTATTATTGAAGCTATAATTACCCACTTCAAGGCATTGTGAGTATTGAAATCAGCCTCCTCCCACCCCCCAACCATCCTGCAGACAGAGTACCATGCAGGTAAGTTGCTTAAGGGCAACAAAGTTAAGGAGGAAAGCATGAATATCCTTTCACTCCTGGTTTCTCAGTCCGTACAGGAATTTTTAACTTTTGGGTTCATACATAGTAGTAGATGCTGCCTATACCTGGCTCATATCTTTTGAGTCTACTCTGTAGTTTGCTCAGAGATTCTAGTACAGGAGGAGGACTGCCCATGTCTGCGCAAGTGCATTCTCTGAACTTAAGAGGGTGATTCTTCTCTCTTAAGCACTGAGCTGGGTAGAGGTGACTCCAGCATTGACTCCCAACGAGGAAAAGGGTTGGTAGGCTAATGCCTCAGTTCTTTGCCTCTCAGTAGGACAGTTTTGAGATGTGATCCACAGTTTGCCAGAAGTTCACAGCAGGATTAAGCTCAGTGGCCCACAGTGACCACTCATAAATGAACCAATAACCAACCATCTTCCTTGCCTGTCTCACTTTTCCACTCCTTCAGAGAGCCACTTCCTAAAGAAAGTACTTGCACCCAAATCTTGTTCTCAGAGCATGATTTTGGGGGAACTCAAACTAAGGGGGGCTTCTCTGAAAATGTAAGGAAAACAAGGTCCCTCACTCTAAGAAAATATGCCATACTTTCAAGAAACCTATGTGGGATTTGGTGAAATTTTGATATAAGGGCCAGAATTCCAGAATCATCCTACCTTCCCTCTCCCCCTCACCCTCAAAGATTGCTAAGGAATCCATTTACAGGGACCTGCAGTGTAACAGGAATAAACGTTTTACTTTATTAAAAGCTTCAAAAGTACTAAAAATAATTCTACTGTACTCTGTTTAAAATACAGTTGGCGGGCAGTGCCTGTGCCTTAGTCGGTGGGGCACTGGCCCCATATACTGAGGGTGGCAGGATCAAACCTGGGCCTGGCCAAACTGCAATAAAAAAATAGCCAGGTGTTGTGGCAGGTGCCTATAGTCCCAGCTACTCAGGAGGTTGAGGCAAGAGAATGGCCTAAACCCAGAAGTTGGAGGTTGCTGTGAGCTGTGTGACGACACAGCACTCCACAAGGGGTGATGACTCTGTCTCTACCAAAAAAAAAAAAAAAAAACAGTTGGCTCTTGAAAATGCAAAGGTTAGACTGCAGCAGTTCTCAACCTGTTTTAAAGGGTTGTGGCATTAGGAAGGTTGAGAACCACTGGGTTAGAGGAAATGCCTCCCCTCTATGTAGTTGGAAATCCATGTATAACTTTTCACTTTCTGAAAAATTAACTTAATAGTCTGCTGTTGACTGGAAGCCTTACCAATAACATAAAGTTGATTGACACGTATTTCTGTTACATGTATCATATGCTGTAATTTCACAATAAAGCAAATGAAGAAAAATCATAAAAGGAAAATGTATTTATTATTCATTAAGTGGAAATGGATCATCACAAAGGTCTTCATTTTTCTCAGGTTCACACTGAGTAAAAGGCTGAGGAGGAAGAGGAGTGTTGGCTGGTCTTGTTGTCTTAGGGTGGCAGAGACACAAGAAAAGCTGAGTACAAGTGGATCCTAAAGTTCAAAACCCTGTTGTCGAGGGTCAAATGTACTCTTTGCCTAGTTGGCTCTCTAATATTCTTTATCACAATATACTTACCTTTTCCTACGTGATTTGCTTAGCTGTTTACTGTTCTCTACCAGACTGTATATTCCATGGAAACAAGAACTAGGTCTCTTCTGGTCACCACTGTATACCCTTTGTTTATGACAATACTATCACATGGAAGATACTCCATAAGCTGAGAAAGAGGTTTATGTTTGGGCTCTGGCCTTAAATAGCTACCAATTCCTTGCTCATTAAAATCATGGGATCATAAAAATCATGGTCTCTCCCAGGCCATGTGAAGAAAGTCAAAGAGACAAGGGGGAAATGAAATGATCAGATCTGCAGGACAGGTTCTGGCCCAACAAAATGATCAAGTTGTGTACATGGAGGTGGTAGATTGCCAAAAATCTCTCCCTGAAACATATACTGAAGAATTCCTGGTTTATGACATTTCTATTGATACCAATCTTGAGATCTCTAACCTTTACTATTAGATTTAGCTCCTCTCTGATCCCTATTCCTCTCCTCCCTGCCAAAAGGCAGCACATGCAGCAAATTAGGTGTCAGTACCAATGACTGAAACCAATTTCTCCAAGGCCTGTACTATGCTTTCAGGAACTGTGGCACCTTTGTTGTCATTGGAGTATTCTCTCAATTTCCACCTGTTGAATTCATCTTAATTTTGTAAGGCCTGGCACAAATGCCACCTCCTTCATGGTCAGTGGACCTCCTATGGCAGCACTCAGCACAGGGTTTACAGTGCTTGGCAGGGGCTGGGTTAAAGTCTTTTCTTTAATGACTACTATTGAACTTAAAGGCATTCAAACGAGAACAGTTTTGCATCACCCTCTAACTCTGCTAATGCTTTATTTTCCATCTTACCAAGCGTGTTCACAGCCTTCAGCTCATTCATTTCTTCAACGGCCCTACATAGTTAACCTGAGAAAACTGAAGTTCTGTGTGAGTACACAAAAGCCAAGGCCCTCGATCAATCCTAAACTCAATCCCAAGTCAGCGTGGGCTGACTCTCACGTATTTCACAGCCCAAGCAGCATGAGGAAGAAAAAAAAAAAAAAACAACTTCCCGAGGCCCTCAACATAGGTACTCATTTGTGCTCCCGACCTAAAGCAGAGAAAGGCCCTAATTCCCGTCCTCCTCAACAGTGGTGGGATCCGCGGGTGAGAACGCCGCGACAAGGGCTGCAGAGGAAATGTACTCAGTAAAAAAAAGTGCCACGGGGTAAGCTCCTGGCTCCGCTCCGTCGGTAGCCCAAGGCCTTTTATCCCAGTTGGCAGTTGTCCACCCAAAGACTACCCCACCCAACCGCTCCTTCGAGCTTCTCCACACCCTGCGCAGCCGTTTGCACGTCTCCCGGGTATGACGGCTACGCCGTGACGTCACTCCAGAGGACGTGGTAAGTCGAGCAGGCTGGGGATGTCCAATGACTCCTAACGCGAAAAAGCGCGCACCCAGACTGCAGGCGGGATTAATTTGTGACTGACGTCCACGTACACCTATTGCTTTTCTGATTCCTCCGCAAAGAAACCAATGAATATGACGATGGCGATGACAACGTGCCTCAGCCGCTAAAAATGGCTCCGCCCCTTCCACTTGGTAGCGCTTTGGTTGCCATGTTTAGTGTGGCTACTGCCTCTGTGTTTCTTTAGGCTTTTCACTGGCTTTTCGATGCTCTCGCTGAACCCTTTCCTAAGAATTCTTTCTTTCCACTGTCAAGTTCCACTTTTTACAGCTTGCAACTCGCTCACTAAGTGTATCTAGCCACACTTAAAATGGCGGCTAGAGGCAGGTCTGAGGTGGGGCGTGACTGGCGCGGTGACGTCCTTGCGCTGCGTGCCGGCAGGTGGAGGGAGAAGGGAAAGTTTGGCCCGTGCGTGGGGTTCGGCTGGAGGGCGGGACGGAGGGGTGGGCCCAGGCGAAGCCTCTGTCGCCGCTGCTGAGGAGGCCGAGAACCGGGCGTGGGCCGGGCAAGGGAGTGCTGGACGCAGAGGAGCGGGAGGCGAGGTCTGCTGGAGCTCTAAGCTCCCGCCGCTCTGCCGCGGGGTGACCCCGTGCACCAGCGCCGTCCGACCCGTGGCTGTTCCGTGGCCTTTGGTGGGAGCGCGGCGACGGCAGTTGGGGGTGGGGAGCCGCGGAGCGAGGCAACGCGAGAGAGGTCAGCTAGTTTGAGGGAGAACCGGGAGCATTGCCGCCGCAGTCATGTCCGAGGACTCGAGCGCCCTACCTTGGTCCATCAACAGAGACGATTACGAGCTGCAGGAGGTGATTGGTGAGAGCTGGCGCCGCTGATGGGGGAGGCGCCGCGCTAGCCGGCGGGTGACACGCGGGAACGTGGGGAGCGCAGCACTCCCAGAAATTCCTGCGGCGAGGGGGTTTGTGGGCCGCGTGTGTGAAGCACCGGGTTTGTGGATCGAGTGTGAGAGGGGTGGGGGTTTCGAGGCACGTGCCTGTGAGGTGGGGTGGGGTTGGGTTTGAGGGGCTCTTAAGAGGTTTGTATACATGTTTGACAGATGTGTGAGCATGAACCTTAAAGAGTGCAAGTATGGGACATGCCTTTTTGAAGCTATCTGAGAAAGTGGGTATTGGAGTTGTGGGCATGGTCACCTATTTGGGATTGTGGGATAGGGCGCTTTAGTTCATTCTTGCATTCATGCGAGAACCCTTTTGAGTGCCACGAAGTGCCAGACTTTGCTGGGTGGAGCTGTGGATCCTCTCCAAATGAAGCTGCAGCAACGTAGACCTAACTTCTGACTCGTTGCAGTTGACTTTCTAGAGGTAAACCTTAAATGAATGGACAAAAAGAATTGAACAGGTTTTGGCACATGATAGGAGATAAACAAGATGTTCTGATAGAGAATAACCTGGAGACCTAGTTAAGGTGATTTCAGGGAACATTTTTTTTCCAAGGCTGTGACATTTCACTTGAGCCCTGAAGGATGAGGACTGAGTCTTAAGATTTTCCTACTGAAGGGTGGGGAAATGCAGTGGTCCTGAGGAGAGGAGGAGCTTGAAGTGTTTTAGTACCTGAACAAAGGCTAGCAAGGGTAGAGAGGTAAGGGAGGACTTAGGAACATTCACAGCATTAGTAAAAGAGTTTGGAATTTTAAGTATCACTGGAGGGCTTCAAGCAGCTCCCTGATGTGCTCTGATAGATGGGGCTGCTGTGTAAAGTAAATCTGAATACCAGTTGGCACAGACCAAAACTTGCACAAACAAGGGTTGCAATTTCCAGAGAAGCATAGTGATTGGGGGAAGGTTGGGGACTGGGATGAGGGGAGTATTTGTTAGATAACAATGACCTAGTGACCTTGGAAATCAAAAGGGATGGGTTTAGCTAAACAGAGGCTCAATCCAACTGACATGAGCAGACCTCTGTGTATAGGAGGAAGAATTGTCTACTTTGCCAGCATCTTGCCCTCAAATTAGTTTTATAATAAAGACCAACTGATGACACCTTAGCTGCCTTGCAAACATCAATATTTGTTGCAGTGTGTGGGTTTTGAAGAAACTTTGTCAAATTTTCACTTCACTTCCTTCTTATTTTAAAACAATTTGGGTTAAGTGTTATCTGAAAAATGTCACATCTTTTTCCTTAAGCCACTTCGTGGGTCCGTGTCCTTGAATCATACTGGGTCTTTTGACATATACTGATTAGTTCTAAAGCTAATTGGATCTCTGTCTTGATTGATTGCTTCTAGTTCCCTCAATCAGAGTTTCACATTGAAGGAAAGGACTAAATGGGAGATTCCAAAATGATATGAGAAAAGTGAAGAGGAGGGTCTCTATTGTTACTTTAAAAGAATTTTGCTTCCTTTTCTAGTAGTGTGTACATCTTTCTAGGGTGAAGAGGATGGTCGTAGACATTCTTAAAGCCTTTGCTGTTAGGTGACATAGTATTTTAGACTTGCAAGGGCTCTGGAGATTTAGTGATTTATTAATGTCTTATTTATGGTGTCTTTAGACCCATAGGATGTCTGTGAGTGGGCAGAAGGGAGACTCAATCCTCTGAGATAGGGTTAGTGTTCATCACATTCACACAGTGGTTTGTGATTCATAAAAGGGTAAGAACTCCAATGTCATTTGACCATCTTATTTAATACCATATAATTCACCCATTTTTAAGTATAAAATTTAGTGTTTTTAGTAAAGGTACTGACTGTATTGTACAACCATCACCATAATCCAGTTTTGGAATATTTCTATCCCCTCAATGAAGGATGCTTAAACTTAGCTTGTTTAAGTTAGTCACTCTTCCCACCCCCTGCCAACCAGAAATCTACTTTTTGGCTCTATAGATTTGCCTTTTTTTGACATTTTATATAAATGTGGTTTTTTGTGTTTCTTTCACTTAGTATAATATTTTTTCATTTTTAAAAACAATTTTTTTGGGGTATAATTTATGTACTGTAAAATCTACCTGATTGAAGTGTACAATTCAGTAATTTTTTTTTTTTTTTTTTT